TTCCAAATACACGTTTTCATTCGTTCATTCATTCATTCGTTCATTCATTCGTTTGTTGAATTCATTCATTTATTCTTTGATCCATCTGTCACTCGACAATCGTCATCATCATCTTCATCGTCGTAACCAGCACAACCATCATCACCATTAACAACAACATCAACAACAACACATTCATTCACTCACTCATTCCATCATTTACTTTTAATGACATTATAATTTTTCCGCCAGCGACATTTTGTGATCATGGAGTGATCTGTGTGTACTGGTTGGTTTCTAGCATCATTTTCACTATTATTACTACTACTACAACAACTACCACTACTGCCGCTACTTCTACAACAACTACCACTACTGCTACTACTACAACTACCACTACTGCTACTACTACAACTACCACAACTGCTACTACTACAACAACTACCAATACTGCTACTACAACAACTACCACAACTGCTACTACTACAACAACTACATCTACTGCTATTACTACAACAACTACCACTACTGCTACTACTACAACAACTACCACTACTGCTACTACAACAACAACTACCACAACTGCTACTACTACAACAACTACATCTACTGCTACTACTACATATACCACTACTGCTATTACTACAACAACTACCACTACTGCTACTACTGCAACAACTACCACTACTGCTACTACTACAACTACCACTACTATTCTTGCATCTAACACACAACCATCTTAAAGACATTACAACACAAAGAAAGTAGCAATCTAAGTACATATGCGACCCCTCAAAAGTAAAATTACCCTCAATGCGGCCCTCACCGCGAAAAGTTTGCCCACCCTTGCACTAGAGTTTAAGCAAAAAAGTTTAAAATTAACGAAACAAACATTTATTATTCTATTATTCTACATTATCTTCGATATTAATATTAAAAGAAATATTACGTAATATTAATCTCATAAAACTTGAAATTGTGTTAATACCGATAGAAAAAAATTCTTTAAAACACCTCAGTCAAATGGTAAGATTTGTTATAATAAAAAAAATATTAATACGTCACCAGCGGCTGAATGCTAGCCCATGCTAGAACATTGAACCCCTTGAAACAATTTCAATTTTTCTTCTACTGCCTTGCATTGCCGTAACAGTTTCTCCGCGTCTGTCAGACCTCGATTTTGGAATAACATGAAAAAAGGGCCCTCTTCAGTATTCTAACAACCTTACCTTTGAGAAAATTAGGCTGAAGTGAAAAATTCTACCGAATTTATCCGAGAATAAACATTCTCACCGAGTGAGTCCGGCCATATTTGCGAATAATTTTAAGATCTTCGTCAAGATCAAGAAGTTTTTTTTAAATAAGAAAAATGCGAATTCAAAATTTATTCATTTTCATTTTTTCGTTCTAATAAAAACAAATTTTACAGTCAAAAAAACTAAACAAAACAAAAGTGAGTAAGTATATTTACAAAGCCATTTCTAAGCGACTTTCGTTATCATAAAATAAATAAATCTTGAATAATAACAATAAAAATAATAATAAATAATAACAATAATAATAATAATAATGGGTAAATGCCAACAGTGGATGATGGGGTTATGGTGAGGGTAGCCCCCGATCATATCCAATCATCGCAGCTGGTGTTGGATGGGTGGGTGGAGCTATTTTTTGAATAAATTAAAAGAATTAATTATTCATATTAATAATTTATTATATTCGTAAATATAACATAATGATATAATTGATTATGGTTAACTTTATCCCAGCAATAATAATGAAAGCATTTAGACATGGATCCCCAGACTAATTTCAAACAAGTATTTTATTATTATTAGTATTACCAATCAATCAATCAATCAATCAATCAATCAATCAATCAATCAATCAATCAATCAATCAATCAATCAATCAATCAATCAATCAATCAATCAATCAATCAATCAATCAATCAATCAACCAATCAACCAATCAATAAAAAACAATCTAATAATAATAATAATAACAACAATAAAAAAGATAATAATGATAAGCTTAATAAAAAGCATCTTTATTATATAGTACTGTAGTTTTCTAGTTAAATAAAAAAGCTTCAATGCTATTACATATTACACTATTAAATTATATATATATATATATATATATATATATATATATATTAAATTATATATATACTATACACACACGCACATACACACACACAATCTTACACACACACAAACTTTCTTTCTTTCTCTCTCTCTTTTTCACACACACACACACACACACACACACACACACACAAGCACACACACACACACAAGCACAAACAAACACACACACAGTATACTTGCATTACTAAAATTATACA